AATGCCACCGGTCGAAGCTTGGGAGGTGTTGGTAGTCGTATGTCCTCGCCATCCACACTGACAGGTTTGGTGCTGCCATCCTCCTCCAAGTCTTCCTCGTCGTCGGCGCTTTCGGTATCGGGCTCTGTTCCAATGCGGCCGTCCGAGAATTGGATGTGCCGGAGCGTACGAGCCCACTGAACACATTTTCCACCTCTTTGTGCTGGGACAGTCTCGATCGGTTCGTTTTCTTGACCAAAGATTGCCTCTTCTTCTTGCTGCAGCCTCGCAAGGGTTTCTGCAACCGGCAGGGCACCGTTGCTGTTTCTCTTCGTGTCTACAAAAGTGTGGTTAGCAAGCTTTTGTAAACCTCTCAAGAATACTGATCAATACTCACTCTTCTTGGTCTCTTGGTCTCGCTCCTTCTCGTTCTTCTTGGCATTGACTCCAACCGTAGAGACTGCTGGCATGTCGACATCGTCCAGCACGAAAGACCCAGGCATACGGATCGAAATGGGAATGGTAGAGCCTCGTAGTGCTTCGCCAACCTTGTTCTCTGCAATGCGGCTTGACCGGCGAATCACGCCGGGCTCGGCCTTGGACCCGAGTCGTCGCTGGGTCAAGTCCTGGCCTATACCCATCTCTGGGTTGAGAATGTCGTCCGTGTCCGACTCTGCGCCTCTGCGGCGTCTTCTTGCCCTCGCTGGAGGCTCCTTGTCCTCGAAATCAGGTATGGCCAGGCGCGACCGAGTTTTCTTGGTTGGCACTGGCGACACAAGCTGCTCGAATCGCTGCAACTTACGCTTCGTACCCGGGCTCGGGCTGGGACTCTTGTTAGAGTCCTTTGTTCCGAGCGGTACACGCGTGCTGGCAGGTTGGACCGACTCGTCACCGCTCATATTGGGCGAGTCGATGCATGGCCTCGTCATTGTCGTGCTCTGGACGTCTCTTCGACCTTTACTGGTTTTTGCGCGTTGAACAAATTTGTGTAAAAATTCGAGTTCGGAATCTCGTCGTTGGACACTAGCTGGTCGTACCTGATTTGTCGAGTCTTGCAGAGACAAAGAAGTGTCGGCTTTGTCCTGCAGGGTGGTCTTTATTGGTAGGCCTGCTGTCTCCTCGGCTCCACTATCACGCTGGAACATCGAGGCCATCTCCTCCTGTATAACGGGCAAGGTGTCGTCTGTGAGTGCCATAGATCGTGTTGGCCCTGTGCTCAAACGCCTGTCTTTTCTGTGGAAGCCAAACCTCTTGTCATGATTTTCTCTCCAAGTGGTATCAAGCGGTGCAGGTATCTGCGGGCTCACGCGTTGCACTGGCTGGCCAAAGATGTCTAGTGTCTTGCTGACGTCAACATCAAATGTTCGACGACGTTTGGGATCAGGGACAGATGGTGTCGCATTATGGGTGATATCACTGTGTCGCCGCTTTGCACTAGCAATCGTACCAGACTTGCCGCTGAGGTAGTTCCAGACTCTCTGAATGATTCTAGCATCGGAGCTTCTGTCACTTCGGCGCGCATTGTCGAGGGAAACACGTCTCTTGGATTCGTATTCGGGCTCTTCTTGCATGACTTGGCTGGGCTGATCGAAAATTGCGACGGCTGAAATCGGTGTCCGCTCGGTTTGTGCTACTGAAGGAGCAGACATGTGGTGCTTTGGCCAAGCGCTGGGCGTGGAGGAGGGTATGAGTGAGGCGCTGAACACAGCGGCTTTGTCGGTCATGGAGGACGTGGTAAGGATGCCGGAATCGGCAGTGTCGTCGGATAGTTCGAGGCGAGGAGCATCGGTCTTGGCTTCTTCTGTTTGGACTGCCGAATCATCTTCCTGCAGACTTGAAGTATCTGCGACATTATTGCTGTCTTCAGAGACTTCAAAGATGGTAAATTCCTTCAGCCTTGAATCAGCAACTTTGGTGCCTGCGCTAGTCTTTGGTAGACGCAGAGGTGGAGTCTGGGCCTCTTTTGCCAGCTGCTCCAGGAAACCAGGATCGTCAATCTCGTTGGGGTGTAGCTCGAATTTGATGAGTGGCTGGAAAGGAGCAATCATCGCTGCGGTGGCTCTTGGCGGTGGTATCGGCCAGCGAGAGTTGTGTCGCTTTGCGGGAGTTACGCGGGCCAACGTGGCCGGGTCAAAGGTGGATGGCTTGCGATCGCGCAATTTGTTATATGGAGGAAGGTCGTCGCGAAGGCGCACATTGTCTTCCCAGATGGCCTTGAGTGCAGTCTTGACATGTTCTGTTTGTACCTCGTCAGTGGTGATGTTTAACAAGATGAGGGCAACCAAGATAACCCCTTTGTGGCAATGGCGCAACGTATAGCGCAAGACGTACCCCTAGCCTTGGCCAGCTCTTCGGCTCCACTCAACCCAAGAGTGCAGTCGTCTTCGAAAAGCGCCTTGCCGCAAGGACGAATATATCTGCTCGTTCTTGCGTGCTTTCTCGGATCCAGGCTCTGACAATCCAATTCCGCCGTCGCCTTGGCGTAGTTGCTGTCTGGCTGAGCCTTGAGGTTGACCCTCTTCTGCACTTTGCACTCGCTCCGGCAAAAGATTGTAGTTGGTACGGCGACTCGGTCCCAAGCTCGCAGTCTAGACTGCATCTTTGGAGGTTCGAAGCAGTCGGCAGCTATCAGCGTCCTAGTCGTCGCAAAGTCCACGGGTCAGCGTCATGAGGTGGTTAGCATTGGAACGCAACAACGCACTGATCCTCGAGCCAATCCATTTCGCCCTGCGCCTTGGCCTCTTCCCAGGCATTCTGAAACGTGGAGTGAGGTCTACGAGACCTCACACCGTCCATATTCGCGATGCGACGGCGTGTAATGCGATGTGGTGGTCGGGGTGGATGCAGGATGCGAAAGTAAACAAACGCGCGTGACCGGGGAAACGATGCCGTTCAAAAGGGACGACTAGTCGGGACCGCACAGAAAAGGTAGATTAGGTCAACGTGTTCTACACAAAGTCGCAATACACAATCTGTCCGAAGCGACGGAAGAACGAGGTTGGCACGCGATCATGTACAAAGATGGGAAGCTGGCATGGTGATGCAAAGGGTTCAAAGGAAAAGCTGCCACAGGCATTGTTGTGGTCGCGGCAACAGCGCCAGAATACGATTGTTGACTTTCGCGCAGCTGCAACCAATCAACGGGGGCTTCGGCCACTGGCCGACTCGGCTGCCGGTTGCAGCATTCAATTGGTTGTGTGAGCCCCACATGCATGCAGATACTGAGAGTGTATCTGTACTTGGTCCAGAGCAGAGTTCACGTCCATTTATAAGTACTGGGTACAATCACTCCTGCAGCTGCAGCTCTGCCGCCGGCACGCACGTGCCACCCAAAACTTTCAATCAGAAGCGCATCGCGTCAACCACATCGCGGCCGCATTCTACAAATATCTGCGTGCAACTGTCCTTCACCGAGTCCGAGAATATAGCGACGCACCAGGCTTTGCCTCAGCCAGACGAGACTGAATACCCTCCAACCCAGGCACCAAGCTCCGACGCGCCACTGAGAACGCACTCTTAAATCGAGCTGTAGCCCTCGCCGGGCGACGCCAGAAAAGACCCCACACCATGGCCAAGAAACCCATGCGGCTGCCGCCGTTGCGCGTCATCAGAGTGCGAAACCCAAACAAGCAAGAGTCCAATACTTGTATAGCGGCCATGTCCTCAGTATTGGGTAAGTTGTGGCGCCGTTAGTGTTGTGTCTTTGCTTCGTGGGCCAGTGTCAGGGACGAGAACGCTTGGGGTATTTGCGGTTCGGGGATGGACAAGGCCGTGCGAGGCGGCAATGTCCAACCTCCCATCAAGTTGGGAATGGAATCTTGGTGAACGGATCTGTCAAGCATGAGTGGCTGCAACTTGCGGTTGGGAGAACGGTTGACAAGCGCAATCGCTGGCGCAGCCTGGCGCTGGTTCGCTTGGGCTGTGCAAGAGTGCAAGGCAACTTGGTATGCCGTACTGAGGATCGCGGACGCGCTACCATTGCTCGCTGCTGGAGATTGTCGTCACACTCGGCTTTCCATGTTGCCAACGTGCAAAGGCATCTCTCGATGATGGAGTGACCTGGCCATGAGTGGGAGCGAGTCGACAAGTCGCTTCCGTCCTCCCGCGGCTGCAGTCCAGCATATTTCTACGACAGGTCCTGCGATGCGGATTCCAGTCCTAGCCCTGGCCTGCCCTGGCAAGCCAAGAGACCCTAGCTGCCATTGTGCTTTCGAACCACATCACTAATCTGAATTTCTCCTCAGCCTGCTGGGCCTCAACAGGATACTCATCATCAACATGCTCCGGCGTTGAGCAAGTACTACGCGATTGCATGGACGGCCCTAAGCCGGAGCCCAAGAAGAAGAACAACATCAACTACCACCTGTCGAGATTCCAAAAGTATCTCGAGGGCAACAACAGCAAGAAGAAATAAACCATTCCTCGATTTGTGAAGCATGCCAAGCAGGACGCTTCTCTGATCGATCCATACTCGATGACCATCCTTGGGGAGGAGTATCTCTCTAAACATTCTGGAGAAATCATCGACTCTTCGGCTCTGTTTTGCTACAGGCATTGGTTGGCCTTGCGATGTATTGTCTCCAATTCATCCAAGTGATAGATGCTGCTGGCTGTGTGGAATTTGGATGAAAAGAGGACGAAAGGGGTCGTTGTTTTTAAAACAAGGAAAATGCAGTACCACCGAAAAAAACAACCAAAAAATTGAAAACAATTCAAAAATCAGAAGAGGGGTGGAAGACATGAAGTAAGCTAACAAGACTGTGCGGTGAACTTGTGCCGTGGATGCCTGCTTCTGCGGGAGAGCTGAATCATTCAAGCACGAGGGAGTTTTGGCTGGATGCAACGAGTGCTCACGGTCCGACACTTGGTTACTACGACATCTGTGTATAATTGATCAGTATAGGAACACAAGCACTTGGGCAGCTGCCATTGTGAACATCTCCAAATCCGCTCAGTCTTTTGAGCAGCTGGATGTATTGTATATAGTAGCTGATTTCCAAGTTCTGGCATCCAAAACAAATGGTCGGGTGGCGCAAAGGTAGCGCGTATCACTCCTAGTTTCGCCGAGGTGATGATGAGGCTGTGGGTTCGAGTCCCATCTCGATCGTTTTTTAGCCTTTTTTTTTCTACGTTATTTGAAATGTTTCTGTCCACAAGCTGCCTGAAAATGGAATGAGTCCTTGAGAGACTTTGCAACTCGTCAACATTTTTATCATGGTCAATAGACTTTGGTCGAATATCCACTACGCACGGAGCCTTGAGTAAATAGGGGAAAAAAGTTTGCAATGATTTGCTGGTATTACTCGGAGTGCGCGAGAAACAAGAACACCGAAGCAAGTGAAACTGGACACGGCGATGTTAGTGACGTTGTCAACTGATCGAACTCGGTGAACTGGAACAAATCCACGTAGTTGCAGCTGAAGAACACTGGCTGTCCCACACTCTTGTGTAGACCCCAAACCAACAAAAGCCATCGTCAGGACGCAGCGTCTTTGCCCTGGCAATACCATGCTTGACAGAGCAGAGCAATACCATGCTTGACAGAGCAAAGCAGAGACGGAGGCTCTCGGGTCTTCCCATTGAAACAAGTGGCGAGACGGTCCGTGTTGGGAGGCTGCACCTCGAATCGTGCAGCAGGAAAGATACAAGCCAGAGACATGTCGCTGTGAGACCCCGCTTGATACGTGCTGGGGCGGGACCGCGGGGTACAGGTAGTGTAACCGACGTGGCCGACATCAAACGTCGTCAGTGTCGTCAGTGTCGTCAGTGTCGT